CCTGGGGTGGGCAAGTGTCAAGACCAAAGCCCTTCGTTTGGAACATCCAGTCCAAGGGGTGGGCGAAGGTCGCTTGTTTGTAACATTCCTCGGGTTGGGCAGGTGGTCGAAAAAGTCTACGCCTCCGGGCTAGACGACCACCATGTTGGGAACATCCCCTGGGGTGGGCAAGTGTTAAGACCAAAGCCCTTCGTTTAGAACATCCCGTCCAAGGGGTGGGCGAAGGTTGCTTGTTTGGAACATTCCTCGGGGTGGGCAAGTGGTAGAAAAAGTCTACGACTCCGGGCTGGACGACCACCATGTTTGGAACATCCCCTGAGGTGGGCAAGTGTCAAGACCAAAGCCCTTTGTTTGGAACATCTCGTCCAAGGGGTGGGCGAATGATGTTCCTCGGGAGGGTCGAACGCTGACCTCAATGCATAATATCGAGCATATCTGGGGAATGCGCGGACTAAGATGCATGGGTAGAACAGTCCAACACAGATTTAACCAAGGCTAAATAGGTTTACCATGTATATCAGCTGGATGAAGTACGCGAACCAACCCAAGTGTACTATAATAGGATTATCAGAATTCGCTGGATGAAAAGGAGAGTCTCATCGGTATCCTTTACAAAAATAGAAGATCATAGCACGAGGCTGAGCACATCGGGTGTGCATATGGTTTAATTTGACTTAAGTATGTTTACGCTTGATCAAATTAGGATGGAGAGAAGATTTTCATAGGGCGAGGATCATCCACAGTACATTCACAACATGTCACAGTAAAAAACGACAACCATGAAGAAAAGACAGAGCTCACAAGTCAGTCCATATATATTACAAATACATTACCAAGGTTTTGTATGAGAAATGGAATACCACATCACGATTTTGAACAAACAAATGAATTAACTTCACTCAAGCATGGTTATAATTATTCAAACTGGAATGAAGAGGATTCACATATCGCACAAGTCATTCTCGTGGCAAGTTGTGGAATAAAACAACAATTATATGGGAAGAAAGTCAAAGCTTCATTTAACATAATCAAAAATACAAAACCAAAATAAAAGTACAACAGCTTCAGATTATTTAGGAGCAGTAGTGGATTGAGTCGCTGCAGTCGACTGGACCGCAACAGTGGATGAGGAGAGAGCAGTCATGGTCGACTGCGTAGCCGTAGTCAAGGACGAGGTGGCAGCACTAGTCAACTGCGTAGCCATAGCAGAGGACGAGGCGGCAGCACCCAACGACTGAGTAGTCGCAGTCGAGGATTTAGTAGCGGCACTGGTCAACAGCGCAGCCGTAGTCGACGAGGTGGCAGCACCGGTCGACTCTGCGGCCGCAGTCGATGAGGGCGAAGCAGAGGACTGAGCAGCAGACGAAATAGATGGACCAGACGAGGACGAGGGCGCGCTGGTGGTCGACGGTTGAAGAGGGATGGTAGCTGGAAGATGGACCATGGGAGTCTCACCCGGCTTAGGTGGATCGAAATAGTATAGTAGGGTCTTATCTCTCACCAAGGCCTGATCCAACAACTCCGACCACCAGAGATGCACGGGAGGGAGGATGGGATCGCCTAGAAAGTTAGAAGGCGCAGTAAGGATGGCCTCACACGTCTTATCCTGGTCGAGCTTGCCCGTGAACCCCAACTCCATCAGTTGTCGCTCGCCTTCTTCCATACTGTAAGTATAGAAGTCCATCCCCATCACTGAGGCCTCTTTGAGGAAGGCAGTTGAGCGGAGATAATCGTCGATCAACTGCTCCCGATAAGCCTTCAGGAAGCTATGACCTAACTGATATCCCTATAAAGCGCGCTGGGACTGCTTTACCACGGCAACGACAGCAGCCTCGACCTCCCTCTTTCTGTTGGACCTTTCTTCCTCGTGGACTTTATCTTTCTTTTTCAGCTCGTCCTTGAGGCGGCGCACCTCCTCGTCATTCTTTTTCACCTACTCGATCAGCTCGTGGCGCACCTTCAGCAACTCCTGGTTCTCGACCTTGAGCTGCTCATACGCCGTGTCGAGACGCCTGTTATCACTCTCAATCACGGGGAGGGGCCGACCAGAACTGTTCAGGGTCTCCTCGAGCAGAAGAGCAACGGAGACCATAGTCTGCACAAGAAACGCTAGTCAGAATACAAGAAGAGACAGAAGAAGTTATGGATCAAAGATGGAAAGGGTGGTCACAGACAAGCATACCTGAATTAAAGCACGGGCAGCATACTCGCCTTGGGCCTGCGGTCGACTGCCCAATGATGAGTATCCTCGAAGGGCAGAAGGCCAATTAGGCGAGAGATGGCCGCGCGGGGGTCAGTCCAAACCAAAGAGGGAGAATAAGATGGTTGTTGAACAAGCAAACCCCCAGCAGACGTCTCCTCGATATGAAGACGCTTGCTGGGAGACTTGGGGTGGTCGACGGCTTGCTTGGAGGGCGAAAGAATAACCATCTCAGAGCGAGGACGTTTTTTGGAGATGTCACCCTCTTTGGTCGAAGGACCGGAGCGGCGGTCGGATTATCAAGGTGGAGGAGAAGGGGCTCTTTGTTTACTCGAGGAAGGAAGAACCCCAGACTTGTCAGATTTTGGAGGAACATCCTTGGTTAGAGGGTCCTTGGTTGAGGAGACATGTCAGGCCTTGTCAACCCCGCTCGAAGAGTCTCTACCCGCGGATTTGTTCTCCACAGGCTTCCTGAAGTTGTGCTTGGGCAAAAATCCCTCTGCATAAGTAGAGCACAAATTAATACAAATATGGTCGACACGAAGAATGTAATAGACACAAGGATGGATGTGACGATGGAGATAACAATATCAATTCGAGCACATGCTCGAGCTTTCGCGTTGAGTTCCGCGAGGTTTGGGTCGACGCGTATTCTGAGGAGGGTTTCGGCAACATGAGGAGAAAAAAGTTTATGGGTAAGAATACCACAATGGTGGAGAAGGTTATCGTCCTTGAGCAGAAGAGAGGAGGCGACAGGATTCGAGTTCCATATAAGTATGCGGCGGTCGAAGATTGGATTTGAAGGGGTAGTGGCACGCCTAATGGGTACCTCTTTAAGCCATGGAGTTGGCGCCCACGGGTAGGGTTCTTCGGGGGTTATGTACACAAACTGGTCCTTTCACTTTGGGATGTTGGATGGCCGATCGGCTATGAAATAGGCGTTATTTCGGCTCTTCAAATACAAGTCGTCGGCCTGTTTGGAAGCCAGGTAGCAATAAACGAAAAATCTATGTCTACTCGACCCATACGGACGATGGAAAGAATGATAAAGGTTGTCAAAATCCTAAAGGCGTTGGGAGGGAGTTGGTTTAAAGGGGTAGTGGCACGCCTAATGGGTACCTCTTTAAGCCATGGAGTTGGCGCCCACGGGTAGGGTTGTTCGGGGGTTATGTACACAAACTGGTCCTTCCACTTTGGGACGTTGGATGGCCGATCGGCTATGAAATAGGCGTTTTTTCGGCTCTTCAAATACAAGTCGTCGGCCTGTTTGGAAGCCAGGTAGCAATAAACGAAAAATCTATGTCTACTCGACCCATACGGACGATGGAAAGAATGATAAAGGTTGTCAAAATCCTAAAGGCGTTGGGAGGGAGTTGGTTTGAAGCCAGACCATAGAGGCCACACAGATCGACCAAAGCCTGGCAGATGGGAAAGCGTACACCAAGGTCGAACTGGGCTTTGAAGAAGGTATAAGCACCAGGAGGAGGGTTGTCGTAGGTGTCATCCTTGCTGAGACTCTGTTTGGCGGGAGGACGACCAAGTTCGTCGAAATTCAACCATTAATTGACAATGCGCGAGGAGGACTTGAATTTTTTAGGAGCTCCCTAAAGTATCTATTCCAGAAATATGCATAGATTTTTGGTTTTCCACTGTCAAGATCATATAGTAAGTTTTGTTAATTGTTGGCAGTGGATCCATTAGCGAAATTTGATTCTTAACAGGCTCAAATGCACCACCCAATCTCATCAAAAATTGCATCAACTTAATCTCCACGTCACTGATCACAAAATGCTTACTAGAGCCCACAACTACATTTCGGTAAAGAGACCAGACAAGCATACTCGTCCCATAGGCATTTCAACTTAGTGTAATATGTAGTTGTAGAGAGATAACCTTGAGCAGAGCTTGCAGTCTCCTTTTGCAGCTTATAGCGGAGTGGGCCATTACTTTCTTCATATCTCTCGGCTAGCTCGTCCCAAAGCTGTTTTGAGTTTTTTAACATAGATAAACGCCTCGACTATCTCCTTGAAATCAAATTCAGCAGCCATGAGTTCACAATATACTCGACCTTTTGGGATTAATAAATTAAACTCTTTTGAGCTCGGATATGGAATTTTTGTAGTTCTATACAAAAAACCGAGCTTCGATTTAGCACCAATAACTAACCTCATCACCTGACTCCAGTATAGATAGTTCGAACCAGTGAGTTGGTTGCTCAATAACATCATTCAAGGATAATTTGATCCATGAAGCATAAGCGGATCTGAATAGCTCGTGCATACATATGCATGGTAATTGCAGTTTCTCTCCCTTGATCGTCGTGGCGCGCAATTCAACCGTCTCTTAATACCATGTAGAGCTAGAAAATCATGAAATGTATGGAAATAATTTTGGGAATCTTCCATGCTTTGCAAATTGTTCATTAAAAATCAAAAGAGGATGATGACTATACACGCAAGTTCTGCATGCCCATGAAGCCCAAATCACCGGACTCCTACCTAAAAGTGCACTAAAGTACTAAACAATTAAAAGAAACGCACATGGCTCTTCTTGGGAGAAGCGCGATTCCAGAAATAGAAGTGCAACGAATCGAAAAACGACTTCCTAACAAACTAAAAATAAGAAACATGATAGAGGAAAAGATGAATTATGCACACTGCATGAGTGAGAGAAGGTCATCATTCCAACATCCCATACTCTCTCTCTCTCTCTCTCTCTCTCTCTCTCTCTCTCTCTCTCTCTCTCTCTCTCTCTCTCACTCACTTCTTAAATAATAACTTATACATAAAACAAACAAAAGTCAATATTGTGTGAACAAAATCGACAAGGAAGGAATCTGATTCCTCATAAAGGCCACGATGTTGGAGGCCGTGGGCCTAAGGTCAGGTGAGGTGGTGACGCACCTCGAAGCCAATCCCACCATCATTGTTGCCTCCTCCAAGTCCACCTCCCCTCGGCGGTCCACCACAATCTTCCCTCCGGTTAGCCACTTCCCGCTGAGTGGGTCGACTGCTTCCATCCCAGTCACCAGCTCCAAAACCACTACACCATAAGCGTAGACGTCGTTGCTCTTGGTGACAAGGCCGGTGGAGAGGTAGGCAGGGTCCGCGTAGCCCGGGGAGCCCGTGATGAGCCTCCTCCTCCTGGGGCTGGGGCACAAGTTCATGTGGAGGTTGGAGGACCCAAAGTCGCAGAGCTTGCAGTTGAGGGAGGAGTCGAGGAGGATGTTGGAGGGCTTGATGTCACCGTGGACGATGTGGGGCCCGTCGTGTAGGTAAGAGATGGCCAGGGCAAGCTGGTATGCGATGGCCATGCGACGCTCCCATGGGAGAGGGGCATTGTTTGGCCCCAGCTTCTCTTGCAAGTTGCCGTTGGGGACATATTCAAGTATTAACACACCTTCGTCTGCAATAATAATAATAATAATTGGGCTAAATTTCATTTTTATCACTTTTAGTACACTATGTTGGCAATTGTACGAGCTTTGATTAAAAGTGACAATTTAGTGGACCATTATTGATGACACCCTATATAATGGAACTTTTTCGGAAAATGACCAACATAATGGACCATTTTTTAAATTTTGCCATAATAATTGATAATAATATTCATTCTTAGACTATTAAACAATATGCATGTAATTTATATTATATGTACGTACCTCCATCATGATAGTGGCCCAGGAGCTTGACAATGTTTTGATGGTTGAGGAGTCGCAAGGCCTCCAACTCCTGCGTGTATACCTCCTCATACACCCGCTGGCTGCTTACGTATCTCTTCACGGCCACCCTCGACGACGACGAATCAGGGAATTGGCCCACGTAAACCCTGCTGAATCCGCCATACCCGATTACTCCACCAACATCCACTCTCATCAATTTCTTCTTATCGTAATAATCGACGGGGGCGATCGACCCTCTTTTACGCTTGAATATGTGTCGTCTCAGGAACTTCATTACGCCCATCGATATATTATCCACCGGTTTGATTGCTTGATTGAGTATCAATTCCGGTCGGTAGAAATAGCCATTCTTATCGTAATATATGTGGCTGCTGGCTTAATTTATATAATATATATCAATCAATCATGAGTTGGAGTGGGACAGCCCTTCTTTACTAACCACGAAAATGGGGAGGAAGGGAGCTGTGTGTTGTGTACAACATCAGCTACATGGAAGGAAGCACGAAATATATATATATATATATATAATTATTAACTAACCAAATAATATATAAATATATATAAAAAAAAAAAGAAATATATATAAGAGTGAGATTACCTCAATTTTATATTACTAAACATAACATAATATTAAAATAAAATAGAATTGTATATATAACTGCGGACATGGAAAATAAAATATTACCATTACATTTGACAAACAATATTACTAATCAAATGAACAACTTAAATTATTTCATAAAACAAAACATTGTTATTGGTAACATAATAATAACACATACTACTATATAATAATAACAATATAATAATAACACATACTATATAATATTGGTAACATAATAATAACACATACTACTATATAATAATTACAATATAATTTAGTATTAATGTTTGTGCGACGGTCTGACAGAAAGCATAATGATAGCACGAGAAAGACTGCTCGAGTGCCATTGAATTATAAGAAAATGAAATAGTGTTAAATGGAGTTGAAAAACGTGCAAATTGGGAAAGAGTTAAAGGCACCGCTAAAGAAAGTGACTAGGTACCATGTGTGGTGTGGTGTGGTGTGGTGTGGATGAACTCATCAAAGTCAGACTGTGGTGGTCCCCACAGACAAACGGGTGGCTTCTTAACACACTCGTCATCCCAAGCGTGTAACTACCCAACATCTTTGATACTTAATTATTATTAAAATTATTATTATTATTTTAGAGAAAATACTTATTTTAATATGATCAAACAATGTTGGAAGGTGAGGTCTATTTCGCCGTGCGGAGGACGGAGTTGTCATATATACATTCATTAATGATTCGCAACAACCATTTTTTTTATGTTATATATATATATATATA